GAGAAAGGGTGTAGGTGAGGTTTTTGAAAAATTGAGAGTTTTTTAGCGATAATTTTCCTTTTTTTAAGGCATGTTTAATTTAATAAAAGAGGATAAAATTAAAAAAATATATATCAGAAGACCATTTATCCTTGACACAAGGGAGTCACAATTATTGTCGGCCGTTAGATGTAGAATTGGGTGCTGGGATGTGTCATTGATTAGGAACAAGGTCCAAAAATAAAAAAAATTTAACTTTTGACATATTTTGGGTTGTCAAATTTCAGATAGGATGGATAAAGATAATTGTGACCAATTTTAGAATAATTTCAATACGTGACAAAATTTAGAGTGGAGAGATGAAGATAAATCTTCTAAAACCAAATAAAGTTTCACAATGATTTATCTTTGGATGCAGTTCTATAAGGTCTAGATCCTATAAAAAAAAGCAACCTTATCTCGAAATTTCGACCTAAAAACACTTCAACATGGGAGATCCCTAAGAGTACAAGGTGGCATAGGGAACGAGGATACAAAACCAAAGCCTAAGGGGTTGTTTGCCAACCAGAAATTGGGTAGCCAAGACATCGAAATTTCAAACTGGGATTTGAAATTAGTAAGCAACCAAAATACAAAATCATATGAAATTTGGAGGATATGTGAAGTTAATTGGATAGTTTTTATGAACATATCAAAAAGATTATTTAATTAAAATTCAATGCGTAAACAAGCACTCAAATTTTTATGGCCAAATAGGTTATTTTATATTTAAACAATATTTTTCTAATGTTTTTATAAGTATTCTAATGTTTTTATAGGCGCGATTTGTCAGATGTATAGATGCCCAAAATTTCAGATCCATCTAATATAGCCAAAAAATGCAATTGAAATACTCTGAAATTTCCGTCATTATATTTTTTCTAAAAAATAATTTATATTTTTACAAGTGCGTAAGTGAAGAAGCTAGACACCCAAAATTTAGCTCAATACAATGTATTAAAAATAAAATAATATTGAAATATTCATATGATTTTAACCTTTTGTGAGGGTATTTTGATCATTTTATTTTTTTATCAAATTATTTTTCTATATTTTCTAGAGGTGTTTGAGGGTGAGAAGTATAGAAGTCCAGAATTTTAACTCAATTTGATTTATATGGAAAATAAAATAAAATTGAAATACTTAGACAAGCTCTTACCTTGTCCAATTTCTTTTTTTTTTTATGTGATATAGAGCATCCACTATGCCGAGCTATATGTTTGGGGGCATTTTGAAGCAAAATGAAGTCACCGAGGGGGAGTTGTTATAATTGAGGAGCACAATACTTTGACTTTCTACGACTGTTTTTGTCACCTTAAATAGAAAGAAATAAGTCAAAATGACGACCTGCCATTAAGCCAATCAGCCACACAAAGACCCAAGATGATAACTGTTGGAATATTGCAGGAATTATCAGAAGTAGATACAGTAGAGAAAAACAAATGTTATATTGATCTCAAAATCGAAAGGACCCATTGTACACCGATCTATGACAGCAGTGAACCCCCAATTGTAAGTACTTTTTGTAAAATTGAAAGTTGTTATTTCTTGTGTACTTTCTCCGGTTTATTTGCCTTTAAATTAGAGTCATAAAAATCATAGATCACAAACACAAAAAAAAAAGGTGCACACACTATGATTTTGAAATCTCATTCGTCTTCGTTTAACATATATTACCATCTCATTAATGAGAACTTTAATAAACAGTTACAATTGGCTTATTTTCGTATCTTCTGATTTACAAAATTTCAGCTGGAAGCAAACGTTGTTTACCAAAATTCCCATAAACGCTTTATTTTTCCTTACTGGGTACTTAGTTTTCTACCCTTCCGATTTCAGAATTGGAGATCTCCAATTCTGGTTCCAAATTCCAGTTGCCAAACACCCCATATTAGAATTTTGATTTGCATTGACAATAGGAATGCATACTATGATCCAGTGTTTCAAAACTAGGATGAATGGGGCAAATCATTCACTTAAAGATCCGGGTCGAATCATTAATACTAGTCGAGTTTGGATCGCTTCGAATTGGTGCTCCAGAAAAATAGTAAAAGACGAATGAAATAAAATAAAAATTAAAATTGAAGATCATGCAGTAGTGATTTAGAGGAGACCAGGAAAAAAAATGGATAAGCTTAATAATAAAGAAAACATATAACGGAAGGTTTTACGGGGAACTGCACCAGGACTCATACGATACTAGAACCCCTTATGTCCCGACTAGTTCCTATCCAGATTGGAAATCCCAGGGGTTTATGGTTATAAAACACCTACTATGGTCCATATCATCATATGATAAATGTATTCATCACCACCCAATCAATGCTTTTGGATCAAGGTTAAAAAAACGGATCGGAATCGGTTACACCCATACCCGTATCAGATCGGGAGAATCGGTGGATCGGATCGGAAGAATCGACGGAATCGGTAATTTTTGTTTTAAATTTTTTTAAAAAAAATTCAAGAAAAAATGGTTCGTCTTTTTTTTTTTTCTCGCTTGACTCGGTGAAGAATCGGTCGGACTGGGTGAAGAATCATTGGAATCGGCGGTTCCACGAAAAAATTGTTCACCTTTTTTTTTTCTCGCTTGACTCGGTGAAGAATCGGTCGGACTGGGTGAAGAATCGTTGGAATCGGCAGATCCACTAAAAAATCGGTGATTCTACTATTTGGAACCGTCTGAATCCCCTTTTTTGGCCTAATCCAGAGCATCCTGGACAATTCCCAATCTGGATCGCCAGATTCCGGATCTAATTTTTTAAACCTTGGTTTGGATAAAAATGAAATAGTGCCTTGTCTCTTGTGTCCCATTGGCTCCATTTTTTTTCTGATCAACTAATTGGTGTGACGGCGATGACCCTCATGACCATGGTATGTGTGTTTTTTTTGAGAAAGTGTGACCATGGTACATCCCTGATCATGAGGTTCAAAATATAAGTACTGTTGAAATTGATATGTCAGAGTGCATGACAAGAGCGGCAGCATGACAGAGACCTAAGATCAAAGTAATATGAACAGTTTGCGAATAAAATAAATAAATTATTGCATGCAACCCCTCCCTCCATCAACCTCAAAATGAAGCAAAATTTCTTTCAATCAAAGAGTAGAAGGCATCACGTGAAGAGACCAAACAAATGAGTCAATTTCGATCCTTATCTTTTTATTGCCGACTTTTATTTGTATTCAATGCTTCTCACCCAACACCCTTTGATTATATTAATCCAAAAAAACAGACAGAGATGTCAAAGTGTTAAGAATCTAATACACAAGAAAAGAAAATTAGAGAGAGGTAGATGTCAAAACTAGAGAGACAAAAACTCAAGAAAGGAAAGGGAAAGGTTTGTATACTTCCCTTATAATATGTATTTTTACCATCCAGCCGTCTAATTTGGATCAAGTGAATCACTCACCGTTTGATTTAGATCCAATGTCTCATAATATTTTATTTTTAATTATCTTTATACAAATTGTATGAATAAGAAATTTGATACGTGTCATCTTCTTGTTAAAAAGTACCTACAAAAATATATTTAAAATAAATTTTTAATAAAATTTAATGACCAAAATACTCCTTGAATCCTTGAATCTTTTAGAGGTATTTTGATGAGAGAAACATTTCAAAAGATGTATATGGGAGAGATGTCAAGAAGGTAAAAAGGTGTAAAATGAGATTCCACCACAAAGGTCAAAAGCAAAGCTTTTTTAGTACAAGAATCAATGGAGAGAGAGAGAGAGAGAGAGAGATGTCAAACATTAGAGAAAAAGGGCTGAGAATCCAATACAGAAAAGAAAATTGAAGAGAGGCAGATGTCAAAAGTAGAGAAAAAGAGAAAACCCCAAGGGGATGCCAAGATAATAAAGAAAATTGAAGAGAGAGAGAGAGTTGTTAACTAGCTAAAAAAAGGTGAAAAAACAAAATGAAATTCCACCACAAAGTTAAAAAGCAAGGCACTCTCGTGCCTATGTTGCAAGGCCCGACCGAGCCTGTTCTCAAATAAAAGAACAGAGGGGTGAGGAGGACTTTTCCAAAACATGATGCTTATCTTTTCCTTTTCTTTCTTTTTCTTATTTATAAATTTGAATGCTGGAGGCGGAGTTATGAGATAAAGGGAGACGCCAAAAAAAGGGTCGTAAAAGTTTGCAAGGGGGAATTTATAGAGAGAGAGATGAGTCGGGAGAAGTGATGGAAGGGGGTTCCAATGCATCAACTTTTAGGGGGGATGAAGAGCCAAAGTTATGCACTGCTACCCATGTGCAGCCCACCCCGCCTGGTCCCACCTCAATTCAGTAGGGACCACTGCATTCATTAATGATAAGGATGTGTTGTTTTTATGTTTGTATGTGTATGGGAGAGAGAAAGAAACAGAGGAGAGAGAAATGTTGTTTTTATGTCTGTATAAAGGAGAGAGATAGACACAAAAAAAGAAACAAAGATGAGAGAGAGAGGAGAGAAAGAACCAGAGGAAATAGGGAGAGGTGGGGGACAACACAAAGCCAGTGTAGAGAGAGAGTAATGGAGAGAGGGAGGGTGAGACTTATAAATGACTGTTTAGGACAAGGGCGTGTTTGTAGGTGAGGGAGGTGGGTGCCTTTCTCAGATCCAAAACACGTTTTGTTTCTTCTTGTAGTACATGAGTAAGGCTTGTCTTCATCTTCTATGTGCAGTAAAATTAGGGGTACAGATTATCCAGTAAAATTTGAAGCATCAAAATAAAAAGCAATGTCATGGCTTCATAAGTTACAAGTTAAAACACACGTCCAATAAAAAAGTTCCAAAAAGTTCCAACTTTCATGAGCTCTAAATTCTTAAATACTCCAAGAGGTCCGACACATTTTGGCCATTATAGTGCAACATCACAGTATGATTAATGTAACTTTCCTGAAAGAAAAGCATCCGCACTGAAAAAAAAAAGAAAGATAAAGAGGTTGATGAGATGACATTCAATATAGAAAAGGAGAAATGGATGATGCAGCCATTTATGTTAAGAAAAGGTACATTTAGTAATAATAGAAACTAAAAATTTTCTTTCATGGTAATTCATCACTGTTTCCAGGCGTTACAGAGACTCATGACCCTTTTTGATTTTCTGATCCCTGCACATTTTCTGTTGATTTTTTGAACTAAGATAGGCTATACAATACAAGCTTTTTACCAAGGTTCACAGACCTCTTGCTCCTGTGGTTACAGTAAGTTTCATGGGACTGAAACTGTTTAAAAGTGTAGAAGAGGAGAGAGAAAAAGGAAAAAAGAAATTAAAAAAAGAGAGAACTTGTTACATAATGGCCTTCTGTATCTTCACCGTGGTTTCTCCATGTTATTGGGAGATGAAAGAAGTCTTTGCTGATTCGATCTGTATAAATTTGCAGTCGAGCTTGATCGCCTAACTACTCAAATCACTGATTCAAATTAAATTTGGAATTTTATACCTCTGTAATTCTTTGTGTTACTTTTTTTTCTTCTTCTATCTATATGACTGTGGAAATGCTGTTTGTGATGGGAGATGCAAAAGGGCTCTCAGGAAGGTTAAGTCCTTGGCTGCTGCAAATGAAAAAATAAAACAATCATAAAATCCAACTTGGCACAACAAGGCAAACATAAGATTTCGTAAATATAATTGAAACCAAAAATCCAACTCCAGTCCCTCAGGATATTAGTACTTAGAATTCAAACACAAGCTCCAAACTTTGACAAGAAGAAAACAAAATCTTAGACTGAAGGGAAATAAATAAATAAAATATGAACCAATTCAAAGGATTTCAACTTAAGAGAGCTTTCATGTACCTCTCTTGGTCACTGTAATTGCCGCTTGCATGCCTGGTTTTATCATCACTCGCAGAGTCACTATTCAAGACATCAAGCAGATAGCCGAAACGATCGGTAGAAGGAAACCCATTTTGATCTGTACAAGCTTCAACACGGAAACTATTAGAAAAGGTACAAAGCAACAGAACACACACACACACACACACAGAGGGAGGAAGGTAAAATGGGACTTTTGCCATCTCTAATACTAAAGAATTAAGGTCCAAAACGATATGCAATCTCTATCTTCTAATTAAACACGGAATAAAACTACTTGCTTCTTCCGGCAAGTGTATAGAGGATTCGAGCTACCTTCAGAAAGTTTGAAGTCATCCATGGGATAGCCAAAATAGTTGTGGCTCAGGGGCTTCGAAGCCATCTGAAATTCGGAGAGGCGCCTTCTCTCAAGCTCTATCGCATGCTCTTGCTCTTCCCTGAGCTGCTTTCTGATTAATCTAGCATCGTCCCAGATTCCTGGGACTGTAAACATAAAAAAAAAAGAGAAAAAAAAAGTCAAAACAAGAAACCAATTATTATATGATATCAAACCAATAGTCAATGAGATAATAACCTGACTGATATTCTGGTTCCATATCCAGAAAGTGTGGAGAATAATATACGGGGTGATCAATTTTCTCCGGATATTTTCTGGGGAAAAAAAACACCAAATTACATAAATGTAAAAATGCTGCAATCTTGAATTCAAATAGGGATCAAGAAAAAAAAAAGTGGCTCCTCTAGAAACTCACAGGCAACAAATAAGAAAGAAGATTGGGTTTGAAAGAATGTCAAGAGTAATCTACCTGTCCACAAGCCTTGACTTCTCTCTATAAGGCTTAACAAGGACACGAGCCCCACAAACAAAATGGGGATTTCCTTTATTTAGAATCATCTTAACTGTCTCAGGATACATAAAAGTTACAAAACCAAACATGCGTTTTTGCTGGCATGGTATCCTTACATCCTGAACAGGCCCAAAAGTCCTGAAAAGATAGTTAAAAGGAAAAACCACACAAAAAAAAAGAGGCAAATGAGTCAAGTGAAGTCCTCATACAAAGATAAAATCAGAAGAAAAGGACCACGAAAATGATAAGCAAAAGTGTACAAAGACCAAAAAGCGATCAATTGACAAAAAAACAAATGACAATACTGTGATCTCATTGATAAGAGAAGTTTGTTTCTATAGCATGAGGTTTAATGCAGCATCTTCAAATTTCAAGCCTCCAATACCTGAAATAGTTTGACACATCCTCTTCAGTGAAGGTGCTTTCAGCTGGAAATGTTAGATATATCTGCCGAGACCCGGCAACAATGGCACCAGGATCATTTCTATCACTCCTGTATTCAGTATATTTTGCAGCATCCTCTGCTAAAACCACAGCATGCTGTCCATGAGGCCTGCTATTCAAAATTAAACGACAATAAAATCATCAATCTCCAGATGTAACTCAACAATATACCCAGTTCCAATATTCATGATAAGAGATACCCACTGTCAAACATTACTTGACTCATAAAATTTAACCACCCAGATCTTATAATTCTTTTCCACATGATTTTCATGTATCTGATTTATCAAACTTCATCAGTATATAAGCAGGAAATAGCCAATGCAGACCAAACCAACTCCTCAAAACTCTCAATAAAACCTAAAATAGAAAGAAGAAAAGAAATCCAAACAAAACATAAACCCCATAAACTTGAATTTTCAGAGTCAACAATTTGTGCTTCAATTATGACAAATAATAAAGCTTTTAAACAGATAACTTAGAATTGTCAATCCTGGATAATTTAGAAGAAGCCAGCATTGTTAAACTTATTAATATGTACTCAAAACATCAACCAAGCAGAATATATAGTCCTAATTATAATTATGCAAGGAGTACGAATCCTACAAATCCTATTTGCATAACACCCATCCTAGATGTATTTCAGAATATATCCCCAACTGGAAAATAACATCAACCCCAACCCATAAAAAATGTTAAGAACTCATCCGACCCATAGGAAAAAATAACTTGATAGAGGAAAAGGAGCCCTCCATTGATTTATCAGAAAATAAATGAAATGCAATCCAATCATGAAAACATCAAAGAGTTACTGCCCACATTAATCAATAGTAAAAAATCCCATATCTAAATCTTTGCATTGCAATTTCATTCATTGTTATGTATCCAAAACAGGGGAAAAAAAATTAGAGCAATATGAAACTCAATTTCACCTGTCAATGAGCCGGATACTATTCTTCAACCTAGCAAGCAATTTAGTCAAACTGTAACCCGCTTTCCCATGCCTCTGGCTCTCAGTTAAGTAACCCTCAGCCTGAAGTGTCTTCCCAAACCTCTCATAGTACAGCTGAGGCAATGAAGCAATAGAAATCGGGGTCCTTTTCGCCCTAAGAAGTTGCAGAAGCTCCATCTCGAGCCTCTCAAGAGTTCCTGAAGATATCATATGGTCGTCACCCAATGACTCAGTCGGACTAGTACTAAACCCTGTTAAGAAATGATCCAACCCATGTTGACCATGGAAGAACCTGCAATTGTTTCCATGTTTACAAAAACCTCTTTGAAAGTAAACGCATAGCTTTGAAGGAATCTCAGGCATGCTTGAAGTTCTTCGACTGGTTCGAGCACTCAGGGAGGCCAATGTTGGTTCTTGGTAAAAGTACTCATTTTGGAGCTCTGCGCCAAGAGGATTAACAGGCTCTAATTGATCATCTAATCCCAAGGAATGGGCTTGGTTTTGAAACCTATACTCTTCAGGAGAAACAAGGTCCAAATTGAGGAGAGCTTGTTGATCAGTTCCTGGCTGGTGCTCCCAATAGGGAGGGGCAAAAGTTGCAGGGGAAGAGAAGGGGCGTGATGTAGAAAGAGAAAATGGGGTGAATGGCAAAGGGAGATCAGAATTGAAGGAATTCTGTGGGATTTGGGTTGAAATTTGAGGTTTTGAAGCCAACCCAAGTTCAGATTTGGCTTTGTTTATCAAGGAAATGATCAAGCTGTCAGGGCAAACAGCCAGCTCATTCATTTCCCTCTCGCCGTTATCCCGTAACAGGAGGTACCCAACAATCTTTGAGACATTCTCGGGTTCAAGCTTCTGAATTCTACTAAAAACAGTTCTTGTGGATTCAAAATCCATTTCATCTCCAGTCTCTGCAAAAACCAAAAAAAAAAATGAATAAAAAAAAAGACAAAAAAAGAAGAAAAAAGAGTGAAGCCACTAGTGAGTACGGGGCCAACAACTAATAAAAAGCACACAGATAAATGGGCAACTGAGAAGATTTCTCTTCTAAATGTATTAACCAGCAATACATGAGAACGGGGGACCAATTCTGAACTTGGATTAGATCACTGAAACTTATCAAATATAGGCAAATAGGAAGAAAGAACATATGCATAAGATAGGGAAATGGGAAAAAAAGACAAAATAAAACCATCATCCTTCATCAACTTTCCGAATTCATACCACAAACAGCAGCTCTGAAACATAGGAATACTACCACAACAGTCTTTCTCTCAGATTACCCTACCCTATAGAACCCTGCAACTTTTTTACCTCAAAAGAAAACTGAAAAAAAAAAAACCACAGGCCCAGGCTGCAACTTTGGTTAAAAAGTACAGTAATAAGTTGGAATAAAGAGAAAGAAGAAAAAGAATCTTCTTTTCAAAGAAAGAAAAGCCACCATTGACATAGCCACTCTCACCAAAAATAGGGCTTTCTTTTGCTGTAAAAAGAAGATCAGATCTTGATGAAGCTTAACTGAAACCCATAAACACCCAAAATGATTTTCATACCCAGAAAAGAGATTTTTTTTTTTACCTCTAACAAATCCAACACAAAAAAAGAAAAAAAACAAAAGGATAGGTGTCAAAAAAAAGAGATTTTGAGCAAAGAAATGGATGGGTTCTCCGCTTTCTCTCTCTCTCTCCTTTCTCTTCAAGGCATGAGATGGATTGGCTCTCCCTGTCTACTTTCTCTTTCAAGAATAGATCTGGGTTTCTGTGAAGGCTTACCAATATTTACAGAAGAAGTAAGTTCAGATGAAGCAAATTAGGGCTTGAATCTCCATCTCTGCAACAACCCCATCACCTCTCTCTTACTCACTCTCTTTCTCTCTCCTCTCTCTCTCTCTCTAAAGGGGTAAAAATGACAGACAGGATAGCTATAAAGAGTGCCTGTCTTCAGTTCAAATCCACCCAATGAGCGGATCACCGCGAGCGTATCTTGCGGGGATGTGGACCGGTTCAACCGGCTAGTTACCGTTAATAGCACGTGGCACATGTCCGCCGTTAGGGCTCCGTTAAATCCAACCAGGGTTTGACCTGGGTTAAACATGTGTGAGATAAACCTATTTTAATAGAGGAAAACGGTTTATATAGTGCCGAGGCCCTAAACAATAGAATTAGAGCCTACCTCAAACATTTCAATAGAAGTTGATTTGATGTTCAAATATCTTCAAATTGACCATTACATCAAGATATACGGACTGGAAAAAAAAATAGATTTCAAGTTTTAAAAATAGTGTATATGGTAATGTATTTTTGGACTGTCAATTTTCAAAGTTACGTATATTTGTTCGATCTACAGTATTTTTAAAACTTTAAATTTTATAATTAAATAAAAAAATATTTTGCAAGCTATCATAAAGATTGCCATCATTGAAACCATAATTCTTTATACTATTTGAAGCTGTGCTTTATTTTGATTATTTAGAGCCTTGACTCTATACAAACCGCACCCTTTAATCAATCCCTATACATTTACTTAAAAATAAGTTTATGGTTGTACCCCAAAAATCTTTTTTTAAAAATAAGTTTAAGGTTGTAGCGTAAAAATCTTTTAGAAGATAATTTTCTGTATTGAAAAATCCTCTAATTGATCATCTCGACCTTAATATGTATAAACGTGAAGAAATAAAAAATAGTTCATGTTCAAGAAGTACATCTTGTATTGAGTGATCTAGACTATTTACTTTTAAGATTTTTAAGTATTTATTATTGATCTACTCAATCGATAACATTTTCGACATTTTCTTAATTTATAAGACGAGAAACGATTTTCAAACCATTATAAAGTTTTCAACACCATACCAACATCTCGAATTAAATTTTAGAGGTTCGCCTTACTTGCTACATAATAAAGAAGCAACCTTGTACAGAAACCTCACCACTCCCAAAAGAACAAAAAAAAAAAAAAACAAACAAACAAACAAACAAGATGGTTTGTTTGCTACTTCAAATTGTCTCAACAAAAATGAATAAATGAACAGGTCCATCAATAATTAAGAGGGGCAATATGGTAATTAATAAAAAGAAAATTTCATTTTCCCCAAACAAGCTTGAATTAAGAACTTATTTAATTAAGTGATTAAATTGGCAACAACGACACCACGTTCCAATTTTTTAATATTTTAAAATCGCTTTGGCATTGTCTTTACAGGTTGGAGCTGTCGTTTTCAACAGTTCCCAAAATGCTCTTGGTATCTTCCTAAAATATCGATTATACTCTCATGCCTCTACTTTTGAGAAAAGACAAAAATACCTCTTCGGATCGTATCATTAACACAATAGGAAAGTGCACTATGAATCTATCATCCATATGAATGGACGGTGATAGAAAGATAGTGGACCCCACGTTTCGGTAATCCTTTCTTCAGATCTTCCAATTCATGAATTGGACGGTGATGGCCCTATGACCACGTATTCTATTTATTAAACAAATGACTAGACATCGTTTGACACTTTGCGTCTTTTGGTGAACAGAAATGGTGTGCACGTAATTCAGTGAAAACTTTGGGGGTAAATTCGTCAAAAAAATGTATCGAAAATCGAAGGCAGCCAGGCTGTGAGGTGACATGTATGAGGACCAAGGATATTTTCATGAATACAAAGGGGTATTAATTTACAATATCATACCTTTCAATTTTGGATGAGGTTTTTTATAAGGCTTAAGTTTTGTGCAAACAAAATAAAACCTCACCTCATATACTAATATAAAAAGTACTTTGGACGACCGAATCCTCTACGATGGTTCTAAAATTAATTTTTAACACCGACTGTAAAATTGGAAACTCCAAAAATAGTATATATCTTGTGGATGGATACGTGAACACATGGTTTTAAAGCAAAATACAATGTATACTATTTTTAGATATTGAAATCTTTTTTTTTTTTTCACAATCATAATGCTCAGGTGAGTTGATCGATTTAAAGGTTTTTCGATGCTTGCCTCGCAATTTTCGATGAGTAATGAGATTATGAGAGGGTTGCAACCCTATCAAACCATTTTCCTTCAATTTTTTAATTAGGAAAATCTATCATTTATTGACATTATCGTGCCTTTCAATTTTTTAATTAGAGAAATTTATCAAAAACTTCATAACCATCGACCATTTTGACCCTTTAATTTCAAAATATCCACAGGATAGCCACTTGAAATAGTGGTAAATAGGTAAAGAGTGAGGTTTTACATTGGGGAAGGCTTTTTATGTGACCCCACCCACATATATAGTATTTGTGACCCCCTAGTCTCCGTTATCAGATCTAAGTAAATGGCTAAGATGGCTTGAGTTTCAATATCATAAATTGACTTTTAACCATCGGACCTTGATCAGATGGCTCAGAGCTTTTTATTTTAAATTTTTATTTCATAAATCATTTTAAAGCAAAATTCAGGGTATGGATAGACCTGATAGGGGCGCACATGATAAAAATAATAAAATATTTTCGGTGATGAATAATTACCAGAATACCCTTAAAATTGTAGGGGTATTTTGGTCATTTATTTTTATAGAAAATATTTATTTTTTATTTTTCCAAGGTTCACCCTAATTTTATGATGGGACTCCCAAAATTTCATCTAAAAAATTTTACAGAAAAAAATAAAAAATAAAACAGTGTTTGGTATGACATTGGGGTATGAACAATCGTAACAGTTAAATTTAGATCGAACAGCTAAGAGGTGGGGTCACAAGGCCACATAAAAACATTTCCTTTTACGTAAGGTTGACTCCTTATAGTGTAGAAGAAAGGCGTGCATCAAAAGTTTGTCCGGAGATGTTATAGTTACAGAATCTTACAATGGCTTGAAAATTTGTATTTGGCCATTATATAAATTTTTTGAAATATTATAGATTATACAAATCTATAAAATCTGTATTTGGCCATAGTTATATAAAAATTCTAAAATATTATAGATTATAAAAATCTATAAATACTTGAAAATCTTAAAAATTGATAACCCAGATAACTTGTTACCAAACACACTATTCTTTGGACTTAAATTTTTTTCTTTTCTTATATCTATATATCTTAAGATCGAGCTTAAAAGTTTTTCCAATTTCAAGATACTTTTTTTTATTAGATTTTTTAGGTACACCTTACTTCTACACTATAAGGTTGCAATCTTATATAAACTTTTTGTATATGTATAATGTTAAATAGGGAATCTCTCACTATACTTGATAACTTTCTCTTTCAAAATTTAAAGAAAAAATTCATGTGTGGACCTCAAATATTTTTGAAATAAAAAATATCTATTTTTTAACAAAATTTATATTGAAGTCCTAACTTTTTGCAGTGTCCCCCATTTCCAAAGTAAAAACGTGAACCAAAACTAGGTTTGAGATTCATGCTTTCGAATCACCACCCTTTCTTTCTTCTTTCTTTCTTTTCTTTTCTTTTCTTTTTTGTTTTTTTTTTTTTTTTTTGAATGTTAACTGTTGCTTTCATTATTAGTATATAACCATAGCTCAAAATTACAATGGAAAGAACATATGAAGAAATAAAAGGACAAAGTTCTCTAAAACTAAAAACCTATCCTAGACTAACAAAACACTTACAACCCCTAACTGGCTACATCTACGGACCAAAAAACAATCGCAACCTCAGCATCCCTGCTAAACCATGCACATCTGCTTCCACAAGTGACAAACTCCTTGGCGTCCCACTTAAACCGAACCACTAATCCAAGCCATCAATAACAAGTGTCCCTTGCAATGGTAACCTCATGAGTTGGGGTTGGAACAAAGCGCCAACAGGCACAGGATTAACGGTACGCATAAGAAGGCCAATAAGAACTTGGTGGTGTAGCTGCGGGGTTTGGGGCACAACCAGTTGCCGAAATGCAGAGTGTTAAATGAAAAAGAAAGAGGTCGTAGGGTAGAAAAACTAAACAAAAATAAATTTGAAGAAGAGCTAAGAATTGGACTTAGAGGAAAATCAAAACGTAGTGAGAAAGGAGACTAAACTCAATTGATTCTTTGAAAAATTGTAACATGCTACCGTACACAGGGTTCCTCAAGGTCATAAAACTGATTATCTCCATCTTAAGTGTTAGCCTTGACAAGATACAATGGACTTCTAAAGCCTTAGCCAAGGAGGCTATAACATAAGCACGAAGAGTAAGAAGTCGGGAAAGAGGGAGGAGGATGAAAGCATCGGACCATGTCACATACAAAGGCGGAATTTGGACTAAGATGGGCATAGGCTAGGGGGTGAAAGCCGCAACCAAATGGCATTAAGGAAGTTCAAAATTCCAAATTCAAACTTAGTTTGAGCGTTTGATTTCCTACTTTCGAACCGCTCAAAATTATGTTTGGTTAAAAAAAACAAAAACAGTTTGCCACATTTATGTTTGGTTAAAAAAACAAGAGCAGTTTGCCACATTTACGTTTGGTTAAAAAAACAGAGTGGTTGATAGTACAACTTTCGAACAATATTTTTGTTTAGTTTAAGAAAACAAATAAGTGGTTCGAAGTTGGAAACTTGGAACCAAAAAATAACCCCAAATTCAAACCATTCAAATTCCCTGTCTTGTAGTCCATCTATCCATAAATCTCTCTCCCTCAACATCTCTTTCCCATTCTCCCTCTGAGACCCCATTTGGATCCCTGGGTTCATGTGAAATACATTTATTGTGAAAATATTTCTTGCAAAATGGGGTCTTGCTGCTTCAGTAGCATCTAGATAACCTGGAAGGCATATTATGCATAGAAAAGGGGCTAAAT